ATAGAATAATATGTCAACTAAAAAATGCATAGGTCTGGGTAGTTGCCAGGAATTGTTTTTCAAAGCTTTCTGCTTAAGAAAAGTGTTCATTTTTGGAGTCAGTGCTCAGACACATCAGGTAGGATACAATCTCAGCAGCAAATCTCAGGGGCAAATTCTGTTAATTCACCTCCTAACTCTTTGTGCAGGAACGTGCACTTGAAATGGAATTGTAAAGGTCTTCTACATCTTGCTGATGCTGCAGAGATGGTATTTGTGTGCAGCTTCTGCCACCTCCCCTGCAGGGCTGGCAGATGTGAGCTGTACCCTGGGCACCCCAGGGCCCTGCACGAGCTGAGAGATTTTATGGCAGCAAACAGAATGTCAGGGGCTTGGAAATACCAGAGTTTTGACTGTGCTGGAGGAAGATCAGCAACAGAGCACTAACTGAAATTTGGTAAAGTCACTGCTACTGAACAGAAGAGCTTTGGGATTTTGATTAAAAAAGGTGAAATGCAAGAACAAACCTTTAACATGATATCTGTGCTCAGGTACTTTTATCATAATGAATTTCCCTTAGCCTACCTTAGAAGTCTTCAGAATTTCTGTTTTCTTCATGATTGATCTCAAGCTGGAGAGATAGAGAATGTAAAGAAGTCAATGCAGAAAGGGACTATTTTCATGATACTATTAGAAAAGAAATATTTTGACTCATACAAGATTAAAGACTCCAGTGGGGAGACCATTATGAGCATTGAGTTTATCCTCCAGGGTAAAACTGGCCACAGATCCAAACAGAAAGATGAACTTGAATAGACAGCAGTACCCTGGAGTGGAGAACTGGCAGCACTTACTACAGCATGGCAGAGGAGAAGCTCTAGTAACATACACATGGACACATTTTCCTCTTCATTTAAACCACCTCTAGTCAATGTTGACTTTTGTGGATAACAGACTGTGAACTTCAACTAAAATTGAAGAAAATCTGTAGATAACTACTATTCCAATGGAATAAACGTAGTTGATTTAGGATAATTACATCTTTTAACCCAAGCCAATCAGTGGTTTCGCTGTGTTCAGAAATACCCTGCAAGATCACAGCTTTTCACTAAGTTACCCAGTTGAACAACATAGTAAAAGCACTCTTTCACAGGACTTTTCTTTTAAACAATTGTCCTCATGGATTCTGTTTTCAGTGGAATTGCAGTTTCCCATATAATGGGTTACCTTTTACAATTAATTTGTTTCTAAGGAGTCCTGAGTTCCCTATTTACAAGTAAACAGGTGTGGGGCTCTGATTTGCCTTTCTCTGTGGGGATGTAAGCTAAAGCATTGTGATGTCTGTATGCCTTCAGCTACAGAAATATTAATTAGTGCAGTTGTCATTTGAATGGTGTGTATTTTCTAGCCATTCTCAGCCATTGGTTAAAGACAGAAAAGTTATAGAGAAGTTTTCAGGTCACATTTTTTTTTACAACAAGTTGGTAGGCAGACCATAATTCCTGGTTTCTTTGGTAAGCACAATCTCTAGGTAGGTATTCTTTTAACTGAACATAACATTCCAGCCCCTTACACATCCCTCATCTTGGATATTTGTAGTTCACTCAATAAGAACAAACTTAAGTTTGTAAAAACGTGACAACTTACCCAAAAATAGCTGTTATTCTTGGAAATATCTGGTCTCTGTGTGTTATAGTTCACCTGCCTTTAGAACCATCCTCCTCTAAACGCTTTGTCAGAAAACAAACAAATAAAAACCATTCTCAGGAGAGAAATTTTCTCCTCCTGCCTGTCCTCTTTTATCTGCTGTGGGCTGTGTTGGTCAGGAGGTTCCCCCAGGCCACAGGTGCATTTCCAAATCAGCTGCTGATCTCTCTCCTCTGAAGGGAATGAGGGTTGTGAGGGTTGTTGGCAATCAGTGCAGCCTAGAGAGCCACAGTTCTTACAGCTGTTCTTCTTTAAATGATAAAAATCTCATATTTTCAGTAGCACCTTTATAGGTTTCTTAAAGCCTGCAAGGTGCTTGGAAGGATGCTCTGGAATTCTATTTGTACTGGTCAGTTTTACAGACAAATTAACTCCCTCTTGTTTTATTGTTGTTGCAGCCATTGCTGACATGCCTTCAACACTCCTGTGATACAGGGAATGTTCTTTGGGAATTGCCATTTTCTTGTTAGCCTTTTACATGTGATTCATTCAGTGATGGTTTTTATCTTCAGTGATGTATTTCCCAGGATGCAGCATGAAGTCTGTGTACTAAGGTTATACAGATTGTCACAGTTAAATCTACCCAGGCCTCAGTAGCTGTCAGTATTTACAAATATACACCCTCACTTCCCACAAAGATACCCTGCTTTACTCTCTCCTCGTGAGTTATTTCATTATTAATGTGATGTGTTTAAATTAGCTTTAGGCACTTAGCACCACTGAGTCATCTCCTGTACTCTCCCAAGAGTCAGGTTTTGCACAGAGGTGTGAAAGCCTTGTCCAAAAGCAGCACTATAAAGTGCCATTCGCAGGCTCCCGTGAAGTGTAAGGCAGCCAAGAGTGGCAGGTCTGACTAAACCACCCATTTCAGGTCTGTTCCTTCAAATCTTGGGCTGCTCTGAAGTGATCCACTACTCCTTGTGTCATCCAGCAACTCCCAGAGACACCTCTGGGCGGGTCACAACTCAGGAACTTCGAGTAGAGTAGGAACATCTGTGTTACAGAAACTCTGCCTTCTCCGAGCACACAGATTTGTCTCCCCCATGGAATCACTGCAGTGGTCTGTCTTGCTGCAGTCCTAAGTTATTTTAATTGGAGGAAGTTTATGAGTAACTTTGGTGTTTCTCTGTTCACCTGGCAGTGCTGATTGACAAAGACCAGTCCCCCAAATGGAAGCCTGCTGCTCTAGAAGAAGTCAGCGATGAGTTTGTGGACAATTGTTTTAAACCACTGGGAAACGACGATCTCAAGCTGTAAAGATCAAACCTACTGACATCTTATCTGTCTGCTTAGCTCTGTGATACAAAAATTAACTGCAGTGTGGTCAATTTGGACAAGACTTTTTTTAACTAGCCTGAGATTCACAAGTCTATTTTTTCTTTTTTTTTTTTTTTTGCATTCAGGAACATTCTCTGTAATGAGAAAATAATTGTATCTCTGGTTAATAATGGGAAAAATCACTTCAAGGCAAATTGTTATTTTTACTACTTACACAGTGATTAACATTTAATTTTTGCATCAACTCTTAGTTTAGGAGGAGCCCTTGGGGAAAAGAGCACAGTTTAAGGGGTGACCTAATAAGAAAAAGTCAAGAGACCTTTTGTGCTCTTGGCTTTGTCACTGATCTGGTAAATCGAGATTTGTGCCACAGATTCTTCTGTGTACAATAAAAATAAAATATGGTTAACCTTTAATGCAGTCAGAGCTACAAAGGAAAATGCAAGACAGAATCCATGGTGTTAAATACCCTTTTAAATAAAAGTTCAGACTGATACATTATTAGTCTAAGAACAAGAAATTGTTCTATTGATTAAACATTTGTCATTTTTCAGCCTTGCTGTGTGATGTAAACATTGTTTCAAATGTGATAATCTTGCCAGAGCCTGCAGCACACTTCTCTTTGCTTGCATAGCCCACTTTTTAAAATGTCATTATGTCTGATTCAACTGCATAATCAGTATTTCACAATTTCAGAAAATTGCTGGTTTTTCTTGGTCATACAGCAGTGAAGAAACAAGTGCCTCAAACCGCGCTGTGAACACCAAGCAGCAATTCCCAGTGCATCCAAGGTGGCAGGGTTCTGATCTGGTAATACATGAAGTTACACAACATAACCAGAACCCCTTGATACGAGTATTTGTGGGAGGGAAATTATTTTTCTATTGTATATGCAACAGACAGTTACTAATCTTTCTTCAACATTACGCCTTCTTTTTTGTGCTTCACCAGATCACGTAGCAGTGTTTCTTTCTGCTTACTTCCACGCTTACAGGCAGGTCACAAGTACAAATTTTGGCTTCTCTGAAGACCAAAGGAAGAAAACTTCTGCTCAAATGCCATAGTCAGTCACCAGCACCACCTGACTTTTTGGGGAACCAAAAACTCAGAGCTGCAGCAGAACTATTGTGGAATTTTCAACACTGGGCAGTTTTTATGACCAACAGCAATGGTCTGCAGTGGCTTAAGGCTCCTTCCTTTCTAGGAGCTGTTGCCTGGAAACAAAGTCCAGGAAATTCAGGCATCAAAGTGAATTACCAAGAGTGACTTTCAAAAAATCAGAGGTGAGCAAATGGAGAACTAAATCAAGAAAAAATGGCACCTCGCTTTGGCACTAGAGTCTTGTAAGATAAAATAAATAAGTTAAAATTTCAGCTGTGAGTTTATGTTACCATGGACATACTTGTTATGGGACTGTCCTTGAGTTTAGTTCCAAAAGTAATTGAGATTTCATGAAAACCTCTAGGGTAATTCTGAAAGTGTCACGTGACTTTCTAGCTCAAGCTAGTCCCATAAGAAGTGCAAACTTCCCCTTGTATTATTTAAAATGTTTATGTTTTACATCCATAAACAATTGGTATTTTAAATTTGTTTTTTGAAGATGAGTTACCTTACTAATTCCATTATTTTTGTATAAAAGGAGCAGTCTTTAGCCAACTATATTAAATGAAAAACACAGTAATTCCCAGGGAGTGGGGATCATGGCTCCTGTGATTGTACAAGATCTTAGGAAGAACATACTTTTGAATTAATAAACTTTGACTCGCATGTTCAGTTGCTTCCAGAATTTATGTGAACAGGAATTATCTCAAGCTCAAGGTAACAAGATCCTGTCCAGTCTTTGCAATCTTGTGGGTTTTTTTCAAATAAAAGGCATACAAACAGATGGTAAGTTGAATTTTATTTGGTCCACAAGAAAATATTTTCCACAAAAAATATTGTAAAAATATATTGTAGTGTGTTTTATTTGGGAATACTGATGTGCCTTAGTCAAGAAACGTCAACTTTTCAAGTTGTGCTGCAGTTAATGTATTTTGAACCATTATTAGAATATCAAGTCAGTCACATCATACCCACTCAGATTAATCTTGTTTCCTGGAGAAAATATAAAGCAAATGTATTTTTAACTCCTAAATAGAAGTAAACAGTTTTGCAGAGTATGCCAGTCCCAAACTGGAGTGCCTTTATTACACAAAATGAAGTCAAAGAATCAGTGGTAACTTAGCTGGAAACCCACTGTCAGTAGTTCTGTAAAACTAGCACAGCTTAGCATAAATTTATTTAGGTGAAGAAGTCTTGATTTTTACAATGTATTAGTGTTGTGCCTGTTAATGTACAGCAGAGCTCTGGAGAGAGATCTCCCTCCATCCCTTACCACTGTAGCACTGAACAGATTTATTTTCTATTAAGGGTAAGTGCATTATTTATAAGGACAGCATCCTGTAAAAGAGACGATTTTCCTGGTGAGAAGCCGTCTCCCTGTTGTTTGCTTTCCATTTGCTGCATGCCTTCCCTGAAGTGCCAGTGTCATGGAAAACATCCTAAAGGAGCTGGAATTGCACTTGGGGCCACTGTGGAGCTGCTGTAATCTTCAGGCACCGGCGAGGGCCGAGGCTGGCGGCTGCAGGTGAGGGACCGGTCGGGCCAGCAAGCAGCTGGTGCTGTGGGGCCGCAGGGCAGCCACAGAGCAGCTCTCCACAGGGGAGCAGTCCTGGGGGCACGTTTGGGGTGCCTGGGTGACCCCTCCTCTGGGGAAATGCCAGTGCTGATCACAAGGGATGCTGGGGTGGAACCTCAGGCTGTGCTGTAGCTCTGCCTGCTGCAGGCAGCCTGCCAGCAGGGAGCTACTTTTAAAAGGGCATCCGATATTGCTGAAGAGTGTCAGGTGCTAAGGCTACATCCAGAGGAAGGATTTGAGACGTGGCAACAGGAAGCACTGCAGCACCTCACTGCCCGTGGCAACCTCCAGGGAGCCTTGTACAAGGGCCAGGGCAGAAGCACCTCAAGGTGCTCTGACAGCGAGTGCAGTTTTCTGCCTGCTCCTCACCTGCCTGGCCAACAATGGCTGTGGAGCTTTGGCTTTTTATTTTTCATTACTGTCGTTAGCAGTGTTCACATCCTCAAGCCCACACTCATGTTTGAAAGGTTGGCCCTTTTTTTCTTTTTTGTAATAAAGCTTTATTTTAGCTAAAATAAGAATATGAACCTTTTTTAATACTGTGCTTAAGCAATATCCAGTTGATATGTACTGACTTGATCAGTGTTTTGGCTTTGCTTTCTAACTCACACTAATACATGGAGGTATTTTAGAGCAAACAGAGTATGATCAAATGTTCTATATGCTGTAGAACTGGAAGGAACATCACTGTTAGGAGGAGAATTTAAGTGAACCATAAAACCTTAGTCCTACTTTGCAAATGGCTTTGAAGACAGCTGTGTAACTTCAAAGAGGACGACATTACAGCATAAGCTGATTTTGTTCCCTTTTCCAGCAAAAGCCTGAGAACAGCCCTAATAGCAAGTCACTGGGAATCCAGTCTGGTCACTGGGATTTAATGGCAGCCTTGTGCTGTGTCACAGAGAAGCATTTTCCACCCTTCATTCCAGATAAAACCCCTTCCCCATATAGGTAAATTTCAAATACCTAAGTTTGTGTCACAACATTTGCAAAACAGCTCAATTCATAGACTGTCTACAGCATTTGACATGGTCCTCTTTCTGCTTGCTTCCCATTGCTTGAAAAATCATGCTTTGGATCATTTACTAGAACTATGTGTACCTTTTAAAAATAGTAACAGCTTTAGCCAGTATGGAAAGCATTTCTCTATAAAATGAAAACAAAATGGAAAGCATTCTGATCTAGGAAAAAGAACTTTGTCTTTTAAACTGGGTGTCACAGAGAAAGGAACAAACAGGTGGTGAAAGCCAAGCTGTTAGAAGGCTTCACTTGGTATAAAACGTCAGCAACACTGTACCTTTGGGATGAATGAAAACAATCCATGGGTGTCCTGATCTGTCAAACAGCAGCTGTGAGTGCAGTGGGTCAGGCCGTGGATCCTGGGCAAGCAGGGAGCAGCGTGTGGATGCACTGGGGGAGAAATGCAGCCCTTGAGCTTTGGGCCTAAGGCTTAGTCCCTAACTCTGCATTCAGGGCACTGCTCAGGGATGGGGCTCCTGTGGCTCCTGCTGGCATTGCCATGAACAGCTTTTCCAGTGGGGAAGCAGCAGCCTACAGAAGCTGAAAGAAGATGTCCTGTCCCAAGAGTGGTACTTCAGAGAGGAATTTCAGTGTAATGCAGCCACAGCTCCCATGAAACAAACTGTCCTGAAGCACTGCCACGCCTTTGAAGGTTCCTTTCACTAGTTTCATCAGTAGTTTTTGCACATCTCTCTGGGTTACAGTAAAACAACAAAACCAAATCCTCTCAAACCAGCACCCTAACACAAAAAAACCCAAACAAAACCAGAAAAACAAAGAGCTTTGGTCTGATGACAGCGACCAGATGTCATTAACCTATCTTACTGCAGGGTTTTAGAGACAAGCTCTCATGCATTTACAGAAGCATCTGTTAATGATAGTGCACTGCTTATCGACACTGGCACGTTTCTCACTGGTTCACTTCAATGGAAGGTGAAGAGCATCATCATCCAAATGGCTCCCTGAATACTACCGGGGTTTACAAAGTGCCTCCCATCACCTTCATTTTGTGATTTTAGTTAGTTAGATTTAGTTAATAGATTAGTTAGATTTTAGTTTAACAGATTTAGTTAGGTCACAGAATCAAAAGTAAAATTTATGACAGCAGTAACCTTTGCTACATGCAGACCTTGATTTCATTTCAGCGAAACGCAGACAAATTCACCAAGCACAGAGTTCATCTCACCTACAGACAGACCTCTGATCTTTTATGCAGAACACAGAAATAATGCACCTTTTGTCCTCTGTGGCAGTGCTTGTAGAGGTGCAGGGCTGCCACAGTCTTCTCATCCTCCTTTTAACGCTGATTTCTGCTCACATCCAGCACGTACAAAGACAGAGTAGACTCAACACACGGCTGACAACGCATGACACTCGACGAACAGGTTCTACTGCGATCCAGTTAGTCTGTCAGCAATCTGCACTAAAAGGCAGACTTTCTCAGGCTCTCCCCACGGCGATGCTCTGCGCTGGCAGGAGGGCTCAGGGCACGTCGCTCTCGATGAAGGGGATGTCGCTGTACTTGCTCTCGGTCACCGCCCACTGCTTGACCGCCTGCTCCAGGATCTCGCGCGACAGCCGGTGCGCGTAGTCCAGCACGATGGTGCTCGAGGGGCCCCCGTCCTCCGCCTGCACCGCCAGCAGCGACGACTTCTCCCCAGCGCACCCCTCGCCGCCTCCCCCGATCCTCTCATCCTGGACAGCGTTGGAACCTTGGAAGGCAGCCTTGGATTTGATGCATCCCATGGTACATTGGAAAATGCAGCTGCAAAAGTCAGTTCAGCAGCATGTTTTGATCAGCTGGAAGCGGTTCCCTCGTTCGATGCAGTGTCGCTGCTTCTTGCCAGTGGCTCCAGTTATTTTCAAAGAACAGAACATCTCCTTTTGTGCTTCTTCCGAGGAAATCTGTCAAAAGAGTGTTTCATATACAGGCAATAAATACGTTACCATTCTCAGTGAGCTCAAAGGAAACGTAAATTCACTACAGGCGCTTGTAGAAGCGGCTTAAGTAAATCTCTGCCCAGCGTGCGTAAAATGTTTTTATCGGTAACATCCATCTACTACAAGTAGGCAAAGTTTGACCTGAATTCACGCTGCCTTTGAATGCGATTCCCAGTACGGGATGTAGGCCATCTAGGAATGTAAAAGTCTTATTAAAAAAAAAAAAATTCTGTTTCTTCCAAGCTGACAATGCGTTACGCTTCTCCTGAAACCGCAAACAAATGCTGTTCAGCTCCAGGGACTGCTGCTGCTGGAAATAAACACCAAAACCACCCCCCAGCAGCACCACACAACCACCATAGCCAGAGTCCAGTGTCATGGCTGTCACACGCCCTCTGGGCACAATGACACTAATTCCCAGTGTCATTCTGCTGTTGCTGAAGGAGGCTGGAGCAGGGCAGCCACCAGAAGGTATTCACAAGGAACAAGAGCTGGTTTTGTTTTTTCCCTGGAGCGGGTAGGGAAAGCAGCAGCAGCCTGCTGTGATCAAGGCAGTTCCAACAGAGCCAGAGCACCATTCTCACTAGAGCAGGACGACTCTACGTGTAGAGAAGGGAAAGGGACCAATGAAACACCTGGCAGAGTCCTTTTCGAGTCCTTAAGATCCAGAATTGGTCAACTCCAAATATGGGTTTTTGTTTACTGGGCAAAGCTGTTTCTGGGGCTACTTTCTCTCAGGCAAAGCAGAATCTCACGATACGCCTGACTTTGCTTGGCATGCGCTTACCCACTTATCAGAGTTAACAGACTGCCAGCCAAAATAAAGACTGTGCAGCACAGAAACCAACTGTTCCCTACAGCTTCACCCAATGACGCTGTACTAAGGTCAGCCAAAGTTAAGGATTTTTTGTAAGTAGCCTTTGAAAACACAATCATGGCAAAGATGTTAAGCCTTACTTATTTCTTTAATACACTGGAGGAAATAGGGGCTCCAATCCAGTAACCTGATCACAGGCAAATATTTGCAGAGGAAATCAATCCCATTTGCAGGCAAATAGTGCTTCACAGGTAGGATGGGACTTCCCTGGTCTAGCAGCTGACTCAGGAGAACCAGATTCCCGGGACAAGTTCCCCTCCTCTCTCTGCTGCTTCATAAAAACCATTGCTAGCTGTTGGTAGGGCTGAAGTGCAGCACAGGAGTGGCTGGCGCTCCTGGCAGGAAGTCAGTCCTAAATGGCTCCAGAAACCACTAAGTCCACACAAACTGTCACACCTTTAGCTTTGTAGCAGGACATTTCAGCATTGTAGAGGAACGTTTGTAGCCCATCTCACCGATGTTCAGTGACTCTCTTTGTGCACACTGACCTGTGCAGCACGTGCCCAGGGCTTTGGGACAGGCACTGTAGTCCACAGGCCTGTAACACAAACCCTGCTGCCAAGGGCTGACCTCTACTTGCAGTTTTACCCAACACAGAGGACAGCCAAGCTATCAGATTTTTATTCCAATACCTCATCATTAAATGAGTAAAGACTGGATGGATAACTTGTCATGAGATGAGTAAAGAGCAGGGTTCCCTTCACTGCACAAAAAACTACATTTATCCCTATGGAGGTTCATACCCATGTCTATCCATGTATAAACTTAACATGCCTCCAGACCAGAGGCCAAGGAGAGGCCTGAAAGCAATTCAGGCAGCTGAATAATTCAAAGTTTTAATAGTAATATCTTGTGCATATCTAATTTCAATATTTACCATCAATACAACATTAATACTAATCACTTCCACTTGCTCTTCTGGATAAATATGTAGATCCAAGTACATGGTAAAGAGTCACAAACAGCAGGTACCACCCAGCACTGCTGATGCCTGAAAGCTGCAGTTTCATCCAGCCAAGGTAATACACAGCTGCAGTGTATTTTTATCAGAGTTTATCCCTGACACTTTCCTTAAAATAGTCTATTCAGATTTGGATTTTTTTATCCAAGTCTGGAGCTATAGTTGTCCTTTTTTTTTTTTTTTTTAAGCTTTTTAATGGAGGTCTGTTAAATAGAAGCTAGCTTCAGTTAGGATTTTATCCTGTTTCCCTTTAATGTTTCCCTTGTGCAGCTGGAGATTTCTGTTAGGAGATACCAGCATAGGAGTTAGTATCTAATGGAAAGGACGGAATGTGAGTAGAGGGAGGATTTTTCTTCTTAAAGCAGGTAGGGAGAAATTCCAAAGGTCAGCATCTTCCTCTGCAGAACTCCCCACCTCTGCCTCTTCATCTGGGCCAAGTCAAACGTTCCTGGGACTGTCCTACACAGAGGACAGGACAGCTCTAAAGCTTGCAGACAGCAAAGCACACAGTTCAACTGTTCCAAATCAGTTGAGCTTCAAAGCCAAGTTATGGACCCTAGTTTGAATTCCTGCCTGTTGCTCATTTCATTCTTCACAGAGCTCAGTACTTTCCAAGCCACTGCAGTGAGTGTTACAGTTTGCCCGGTCTACTGGAGTTAATAATTGTTGGCACAGAAATAATTGCGAATGAAGCTGCCCTCAACCTTCTGGCTGCCTCCTTGTTTTGCTGACAGCCCTTGCCTGCACACACATGGTGAAATGCTGTTTAAATCCTCTCTGCCTAACTCATCTCCAGAGCGTTAAGTTGTGACGGATTTTAACATCTCTACCTTTCCTCGCAATGCTCATACCCTGAGAGGGAAAAATCCCCAACAAATTAAACCAGCTCATTTTACTCCCAGCACGATGCAGCATCTGTAACTGCACACGGCAAAGCTGTGTGACAGGAGCCTGTTCTGTCAGTGCCCAAGCCCTGCTCTGAGGCCAGCTGTGCCTCAGACATCACTGCATAGATGGTTTGGGGCTCAGGCCAAGAGCTCTGCAGCTCTTCACGTGACAAAGCCGCTGGGCTTAGCTGGAGCCAGAGGTCAGCCAGCTCTGCTTGCTCTGCTCACTCCCAACCAGGAGCTAAAGCAGCATCATCAGAAACCAGAACTCATCTTCTCCTTTTAGAGACAGATTTTACAGTAGGTGAAATGCTGATTTATTCATCTGAAAAATATAGGCTGCTAGTTGTGCTCAATTTTACTGCATGCACAGTCAAGATGTTTTTAAATGCTTCATTTAACTTCAGCACAACACTGTGGATGACTTTAATGGAAGTCTCGAAAACAATCAATTCCATATTGGAATTGGAAGTTCCCAAGGATAAGTTCACATGTTTTTTCACCTAATACTTTATTTACTGTGGCAACACTAGGACAGAGAAAATATTGAGGGGGTGGTAGCTGAACTCAGCGGGCACTTGAGGACTAAGCAGTCTCTTTGCCAGCCTGGCAAAGTGTTTCCTGCCAAGATAAGTTCATTTCTAACTACTGAAGGAAACAAAAAATGGTGAAAGGATGCCTGCAATTCACTATTAGACAACATAAAATAGAGGAAAAACGCATTAATTGCATAACTGCCATTTTTTAAAAAAAATGATTTTTTAACAGCATTAAAATAATAAATAAAAATAATTGCAAAATAAATGTGCAATATCAAAAATTAAGGGTTTCACTGGCCTCTACAATATACCATCATATGATGAAAACAGGCAGAAAAGCAAGCATTTTGCTGTTATGCAACATCTGTAGCCATTATAAGCAGATAAGTTCCTGCTACTATTGAAATGTTTTCCATCCATGAGAACCTCAGGAAAAACCTTGAAGTTCAATATTACACTAAAAGAAACTGCTTTCTGCAACACTTTATATCACAGCAGGATTAAAAATAAGTCAAAGTTTTCAAAACAGCTTCAAAATGTGCAGCTTTGCCCAGCTGTAGGCAGCAAGTAATTCCTGCTGTGACAGAGCCAAACTTTTTGGTTCAACTATGACTCCTCCTCCACCAGGGAGGTTTTCAGTTTTCCCCCGGGTATCTGCAGGAGAAGTTCAGAGTGCCACTTACCAGAACCACGTCTGCTTCTAACAGGTTGTCCCCTCGTCCCCAGGAGAGCTTCACGTCTGGGACTCTGCAAAGGGAACCCAGGAACAGAGCTTAGCACTCTCCAGGGTGTCAGAGGTGCACAACATTCAGAGGTGATCAATCTGTGGTGCTGGCCTTGCACAAGCCTGCCTGCCTTTTCTCCCACACAGAACTTGACTTTGAAAAAGGTAAAAGGATGATACAGCACTTAATAAATTAGACTGAATGACAGGCTGCAACAACTTATACACAGCACCTAATGCCAGGCTCGGAGTGGGGCCACTGCTTGGGCAAGTGGCTCCTGGCCATCTTTAGGATGCCAACCTCCTCCTACAGCAAGTCCAGGTCAGGAGGATTTCAGCAAGGATATGGGAAGGGTATTGTGCCCTATCTGTTGCCTAATCTCAAAAGTTCTCTCCCGTTTTCCCTTCTGCCTCTCAAAGCTTCTATGGAGACCTGGACCTGGATCACCCAAGGACACAGGGAGAGCAGTCAGACAATCCCAGTGCTCCCATTATCATGGAAACAATAAATTCTGGAACAAAGGTATTCAAAGCTGGAGCTTGGGCAGGTGACCTACCAGCAGAGGTAACCAAACAGCACTCAGGCATCCACACCTCTGAACTGCACCCAATCACTTCAAATATTCATGTGGTAACAGAGAGGAAACCCAGAACACCCTCTCTCCCCAACAAGGAGGGCTGTAACTCGGGAGCACTTGTGGCACTGGCCTTTGGATCCTGTGCAGCTGCGAGCAGAGCAGCAGCACAGCACTGGCAGAGGGATGAATCACTCACTCCATGCACAGCATCCCCTCCATGCCTGCAGGACTCAGAGCTCCCTGTGCAAAGCAGCCCCAGGCAGGGGCTCCCAGAGCAGTCCAACTCACCAGGCTTTCAGTCCTGCCTCTCCTTAACATCCAGCTTCCTGAAAATCCTACAGAGGAGATGCACTATAACATTTATTAGAACAACTCGTCCTAATCATAGGAAAAGGAAGTTTTAAACAGCTACAGTTACTTTAAGACAAGCACAATACCAAAGATTCTGCTGCCTCAGGCAGTCGCTGATATCCAAATATCCCAAAACAGCTCAAGACATGAAAAGCAAAAATGGAGCTCTCATTCCTCTCAGAGCCATCCCCTCGCTCTCCTGTCGCTTAGTGCCAACAAGAGATAAGAGCTACAGATTGGAAAAGGCTGGATGCAGCAACTGCAAACAACTGCTGTGCAGGATTAGCATGGAAGGGAAACTCTCCTGGTTATCTGTCTCAAGGAACGTCCTGAAATTTCAAAGGCTTGGGTTTTTCCCCTCCATGGCCAGAACTGACAAAGCTTTTCCAGGCTTCTAAGCCAGTTTCTAAATGAATGGGGGAATTATATATTTGCTTTTCCAAATCAGGCAGACCTCTAGTTTACTTTAACAGGTTTTTCAATAAGAGCACAGCTGATCACAAAATCATAAATTTGGTTTGGTTGGGAAAGGCCTTTCAGATCAAGTCCTACCATTATCCCAGCACTGCCATGTCCAAAGCTAAAACGTGTCCCTAAGGGCCACTCTCCACATCCTGGGCAGCCTGTTCCAATCTTGACCACCCTTTCAGTGAAGAACCTTTGCTAATATTCAACCTAAACCTCTCCTGGCACAACTTGAGGTAATTTCCTCTGGATCTATTGCTTGTTACCTGAGAGAAGAGACTGAGCCCCACCTGCCTACAACCTCCTTTGTCAGAGCACTGAGTTTCTTAATGGAGGCAATTTCCATGTCAAATTTCATCTCTCAAGCACTTTAGCAATGCAGTTAAGAAACATGAAAATCTTCAAAATAGAAGAAAAACACGAGAGAAGAAAATATTTCTTCTTACTTCACTTTATGATTTACATGCACAGTGCAAGTGGGGTGTTTTTGCTGCTAAATAGTACAGCTGTGTCAATGTGAGTTTTTATGCTGACAAAGTCTGGAAATCTAAAACTAGTACTGACTTAAAATAAAAATTAAAAAAAGGCAAAAGCTCCCATAAAATCAAGAAACTCCCCAAGACACACAACCACAGAAGCCAAGAAGAAAAAAAAGTGCTTTCTCCACTATTCTAGCAATCTTACCCAAGCTTTGGGAAGCAGCAAATGAAAATAAAATACCAAAAGAAACCTTTGGATGAAAATATCAGTAGTTCAGAGAACAGCAATACCAGTAGGTACAGCCCTCAGCAGCCACAGTGTTATTCTTCATTCAGGAAGAAGACGTCTTGTTAAAAGCAAAGAACACTGTGTGCTTGGTAGCTGTCTAATTTCATGAAAGTAAAACTGTACCCAGTTGGCCTGTCCTGAAATCCTCCCTCCAGTGCAGCAGTTTATTCACCAGAGCTGCACACACAGCTCAGGAGGCAGCCCAAAGGCCATTGGATGCTAAAAACCTCTTACAGGTTCTGCTCGTATTTTACCTCAGCTACTTGTCCAAACAGCTGTACAGACTGCTGTTAGTCCGCATTGGGACAGAAATGTTTACAATGTATTGATGGTCTTTCCCCAATGTCTCAGAACACATGCATGCACCAGTACAGACTGCCAGACCATGGACAAGAGGGAACATTAACTTACCTACCACTGATGGAAGCCTGTTTTCTAGGTGGGTAATAGGGAACCAATGCATTTCCTTAGCAATTAAGGCCTTGGAGTGAGACTGGAGAAGAAAGGGCATGAAGAAGATTCAGGGCTTCTCAGAAACTCCATCTACAGGAAGTTTAGCCAAGACTTAAGGAACCCAACTACAGAAACTATACAGGAATGCCTTTGGAAGGGAAAGCTAATAGTGATAGAGGAGATCCAGAATTCTCAAAGACTCCAAATACAAAATAATGCCCATAACTGGTGAGTGAACAGAAACAAAACACCAGAAATGGATATAAAGTTTTTGACCTATATGTACAGCTGTTTCCTTGCCCTGCATCACACCAAAGGATGCAGGTCCAACAGCTCTTTCAGCAAAGCCCACAGCTCTTGTAATTATGAGCCCCTCCCATCTGTACTAGCTGCAAATCCACAGTCTGAAGACCATCCCCATAGCAGGGGAAAACACAAGGCACACTACCAAAGGTGTCAGAGACACTGGCCAAGTCCTACGCTGAGCTTAGACTGCTCTAAGGCACAGCACTGGGCCCAGACAAATCAGCCTCTTGGTTTATCACAGCGCTCCAACGCTGCAACCAACTAGAGTGGAAACAGGAATTTTCCTACACATTCCGCAAAACTTCCATCCCAACAACTCAATTGCGGAGTCACAGCCTTCCTACTAAGAGTCCTCTTCAGGATCACATTGAAACATTAAGCTACTAACTCTCAGACTAAGGCTCAGGACCTAGCCTGGTTTGTAAAGGTGCGTTCCTGTCCTCCACAGGTGCCTGGCAGAGCCAGAGCTGCAGACAATGAAAAGGGATGCACAAATCTTTACGAGCAAGAAAAGCTCTTGCTGGCTGCTGCCCAGCCTGGGGATCCTGCCAGCAGGAACTGAGGAGCAGCAGCTAAAGCAGCGGATCGGTGTCTCAGGCTGACAGGGTCGGGTTTTATTGTAGTGGCTGTCACAAGATTCAACTACGAACATATGGAGCTGCAGAGCATAAGGTATGAATGAGGGACACTGCCTGCCTTTGTGACACCCTCAGGAAGCTGAAGGCTCCACTGGATTAACACAAATGAAAGTCAGAAGGAAGGAGACGGTCAAGATCTGCCCAAGATGATCCACAGAAGAGCACAATAAAAGCAGCACACAACCCCATTCTGTTCTTTAATCTCCAGAAGCCAATTATAAAAAGGGAAATGGGAATTAGGAATGCACCAGGAAATCCATTTTTCCACATCTCACACAGGAAGTCACAGGAAAACACAGCCCCACGTTTTAAAATCACAACTATGTTACTACTGATTCGCACAAACCGAGGAGTAAGAGGACAAAGCCAGGAGTTAACAACCAGATGCTCCAACTGTACAAAAGCTGCCCCGAATTGCAACAAAATGTCAGCCTTAAAAACCACTCTGTCTCACGGCTCTCCCCCGGTGTTTGTTTCCTTGAATTCCATCACTCCAAAGGTGCCAGCTCCTGCTTCCAGCAGTTGCCGCCTTCGCGCCTGGGAAGCGGGAAGGCCGGCAGCCAGGCGAGGCAGCCGTGCCCGCGCAGCCTGGCACCGCTGCCAGCCCTCTGTCCCCCAGGACCCTGCCCACGGAAACACCTTGTCCCCAGGGACACCAGCGTCCTGAGGCTCTGCCCAACCCCTTGGGCAACTTGTACAAACCAAGGTGATTTTAAAGCAAGAACGTTCTCAGCAGAACGTGATGTTCAGAAGAAAAACTAATTTGTATGTACTTGAAGGTTAAAAACGCCACTTTGTTAAGGCTACAGGATAAATCCCCACATTTTCTCCTTTTTTTAAATTACTATATTTAGAAACCTAATTTGGACTGCTACTTACTGAACTATGAGAAAGCATAATATATTTCTAAATGTTTAAGAATTTTTGCCATGATGGGTATCGCATTATTAAATCTGTATTTTATAACATGCCAGATGAAGGTAACCTGCTCTGTATAAGGGTCAGTGTGGAAGCCTGGAAAGGTACTCTCATGGCAAAGCAGGGGCTGACAGACCCTCACATCACCTCGGCCGGCAAATACAGTAGCCTCACGTCTTCCCCAGAGCAGGAACAGCGCTTGGAGAGAACCAGCCACGCCGTTCACCTTCCCACTCCGCACCGCTCCCATGCTGTCCGCAGCACCGCCTTTCCTCAGGGCGCCCAGCGGGAGCGGCACCTCCGCTTCGCTCAGTTCGGAGGAGTCCGTGGCCGGCAAGCTCCCTGCGAGATGACGGGAGGAGTGAAGCGGCCCCGCCGCCTGTCCTGACAAACCCCACCTCAGAGCACGGCTCTCTCTCTCTCCCTGCTCTCCGGCACGACACGAGCCCCAGGCGGCCGAAGGCCAGCGCTGCCCACGGCCGGGCGAGCCCCGCGGGTGCGGCCGCGCATCCCCGCTCCCTCCCGGCCCCGGCGCGGCTCGGGGGATGGAGCCGGGCACATACCGGCGCGGCGGGGCGGTGTCCGTGCGAGCAGCATGCTGGAAGCGTGGCCCCGCCGCGCACGGTGCCCGGCCGCCGGGCTGCCCCTTCCTCCGGCGGTGCCCGCGGGATCCGGCCCTCGTCCCACCGACGCCGCCGCCTCCTCCAGGCTCCTGAACGGCAAAGACGCAAACCCACCGTCAAAGTCCATGCTGGGAGCGCCTCCCGGCCCCCGCCCGGCCCCGCGGCGCTCGCACAGGTAGCGCCGGGAGGGCCCCGCGCCCGCCGCCGCTCCCG